AGACAGGTATTTGGACATAGCCCTGTACTATCAGATATTTCTGGTCTATCTGCATCACCTGGAGATGCCCTGCATAGAGATCCTAGAACCCCCTAACTCTGAATTGCTCTTCAGAGACATCTAACATTGTATTGACTCTATGAGACATAGTTACGGCAAGCAGGAGTCTGTAACTAATGCAGACACTACTTTCAATTCCAAGCATTTTGGTGCAGGAATCCATTTTTGATTGTGTATTTGTATGGCATATAGCACAAGGGGGTCCTGTTCATGACTAGGGTTCCCTTATACAACCACAATAACAGTAACAAAAACTCATACACTTTGTGTTTAATGATTAAACTATTTCTCTCATTAGGTGTGGCCGTCTAGTGTATCACCTTGAGCTGCCTTATACTTTCCTGAGTTTCCCATATGTGGAAGAATCAATTAAGATTGCCTACTGTGAACAGAACTGTGGAAATTGCTCTTATATGGTATTTTCCTTAATTCATTCTTTATTTATAAGGGGGGAGGGGGGGGGAGATTGACTGAAATTTAGAGGATGTATTTTAACCTGATTTATCTCAGATACTAAATTTCACTGATCTAGGCATTTCATGGTCTTTCATTAGTAGGCAATTTGTGAAACGATTTTCAAAATTGATCAAATCAGTATGAAATAGACTGAAATCTAAAGGTCGAATTCCCACAGCTCTGCAATGAGGATTCAGTTCAGCTTTCACTGAAACCAGGAGAAATACTCTTATTGATTAACTTAAATGTCTCTTGGCAAAGTACTACATCATATGCAGTAGATGTATAGATGGAGATGCTCTAGTGTATCTGAGGAAGACCCATTCCTTTCTGAGGCAGCATGTAAGGTTTGACTTGAAATGTATTTAAATGCCAAATGGTACCTGCTGGGATTTTCACCATGTCTAAGCATCTAACACATTGCTTTCAATGGGTGTTATTTGCTGAGGTACTTTAAAAATCCTACCAGATGCTCATCTGCATCTTCAGGTACTTAAATACTTTTAAAATGTGGCCCATAGTACACAGCTGCTCAGTTTGTTTTCACCTAGCTTGAATGCAACAGATGATTCTTGGGAATTGGAGAATGTTGTAGAGACTCTAACCCAGCCAAAAATTTGCTCAACAGTAGGTGTGTCCACACATGCATCCCACTGTACAGTACCCATCAGTACTGTACAGTTCTGGCAGTACATGGATCATTTCTGACCCTACTGTGCAGTAGCTCATTGCTACTGTGCGATGGTGGTGGCATCACAGTTAGTGCCCACTGATGCTACACTGGCATAGTGACAAGCTACATCACCATAGCTTGTCGCTACATCGACATAGCATCTCATGTAGACATGCTCAGTATGTTTCGTTAATTAGCACGCCTTGCAATGAAAGACCATTCTATACATTACGAATACAGATTTGTTTTTATGTATCTTGAATGTTTGTCTACACTTAGATCTTCAGTGATTTAAAAGTTAAATACTGCTAAATTCTTTAGTAAAAGTTGTGTTATCACAAATAACAGAATTGTCCGCTGTTATAAATATTTGCTAATGATGAAAAAAGGACTTTGTTGCCCTTGAAGCTTATAATGTTAAATGACTATATGACAAAACTCTGATTCAATTAAACATTAGTGTTGAGAATGTTTAAATCCTGGCACCTTAAATGCTGTATTACTAAATATCAGAACTAACATATTATTTCAGTGTTGCTGCTGTGAAAATGTGGAACTAGCTGAGGTAGTGGAACATTTGGTTTCCCTGTTTAGAACTAACTAGGGCAATGATTAGTGTCAGCTGTGATGGAGATTTTTTTTGTACCGAGGAAGCCCGCTATCTAGGAAACAGATAACTAGCTTGTTTCACATGCTTGCAGTAGCTTGAGTGTAGAATTTAATTTCTTTCTCAAATTTGATTCTCTTTTCAATGTTTGCAATGATATTTTATAGGTAAAATAAGCTGAGGGAAGGGGTTGTAGTTCTATTTAGCTTTACTAAAATCCTAAATACAGCTTTAGCAATGTGGCCTTCTTTACCTAGTTGTTACCCAACCTATTTACAACTAAATTGTGTCAAAAAGGGACAGACTGACATCAGTGGTGGCTTATATGCACCATGCACCAGAGAGACATCAGGAGACATGGTGCCTCAGAGGGATCATTTCTTCCTGTGTTTACAGTAGACTTAAATGAGGTGCTGAAAACTTCTTCCTCTGGGCCAGCTTGATTCATTTTTTCCCTGCCCAGTTAATCCTGAGAGGAGCAGACTTTGCCAAGCAGCTGTGAGCACTTGTACATGTGATGGGGATTTAGTTCCCCTAAATTGAAATGGTGGGTTTTTAATTTGTGGGTTTTTAATTATGACCCATCTTTTCAATTTAAGTGTTTCTGTCACTGTTACGGAACAGCAGCAGGAGGGTGGCTGGGTGTGCTGATGGTCAGAGAAGGCAGTGGGGACGGTGCATGGGGTGCTGGAAGCCCGCCAAGACTGAGCTACCTCTAGCATGTCTGGGCTTCGAGCACCCTGTGCACTGTCCGTGCCACTTTCTCCCGCTGCTAGCTCACCCATGTGACATATACACTCACATGATTTTGTTTTATCTACAGTAGAACAATTTGCCACAATCAAACTATAATACATTGGAGGTGGTCGAAGTTGCCACACACAAAGAAATTTTTACAGGAAAAAAAATTGTACACGTGTACATGGTGACACCATTATGTTAGACAAATGACAATTTCTTGTTACTTTTTGTCACATGTACATGGCCCTACCATCATGCGTACAAATGTCCTGTGATCTCTTGAAAGCTGGGAGCTGCCCTGTAATGTACCATAACATAGCTGCCTCCCCTTCCTCCAAAGTGAAATCTAGACTCTACTTTTTTTTGTCATATAGAATCAGGCTTTCAACATTTTAAAAAAAAGTTCTTTTACCAAAAGCTCAGCACTTACATTATGTCACATAAATGTTTATTTTTCAGACGCCAGATGTTGAAGAGGTTTGCAATAACATAAGTAAGCCAGCTGATGAAGATCCAGCGGAGATCACACCTGAACAACACAGCCATCACTCCCATCACCCAAACCAACACAGACACCATGGACATGGGCACCATCACCGGGAAGAGGATCATCTTTCAGAAGATCAGAACCAACAGGCTCGTGCTCAACGACATCATTCCCCTGGGAACAATCGACGTCATAACAGGGTTCTGGGACGTAATAGACAGGGTCAGGCAGGTAGCCAGGAAAGGGTAGAAGCTGTCCCACAAAGAGAAGTGCTTGAGATTCCTTTACAGAGTAAAAGGCTCTGAAAGAAAGGAAATGCCAGTTGCAAAAATCAGTTAACCTGAAACTTTTTGAAAGCGTCAGAATCAACTTCTAGTAGCTGATGCTGACACTGACGACACCTGTTGTTTGAAGAAGTAGGGAAGGCAGCCACCTGACACTGTCGAGGAACACTTCCAGATACCTGCAGGTGACAGGGCCAGCTGCTGGCAGAGAACATCACTGAATCTTGACAGTGACGTTTGCTCCCAGCTGCTTGACAGTCACTAGCAGAAAGAGAGCATGAAACCAGTGACAACTGACAGTGACAAGGAAAGCCTGGAAACTGAGCCTGAAAAACAAACTAAACATCTTAAAATCAGGAAAGACCCCTTCCATTTGAAGGCACTTCTTTACATTACAACTTGGAATAAATAGCTTCAAATTTATCAGAGGAATACAAGATATTTAATTTCCCACAATTGCAAAATTCTGCCCAAGACAGGATAAAGAAATGCATAAAATTAAAATACAACATTGTAAGCAATTTGATGAATGCTACAATCATGCTCCTGTCAGCTACCATCAGGAGAGGGCTTTTTAAACAAAGTAATGTTACTTGACCCTTAGTTTGTTTTTTCAGTGCTATTTGGAAGCTGGCTGCAGTCTGGTTAATTTGTCTTTCTTGTCTCTCTTCTAATATTCTGCATGCATGAGTGAAGGCAGAAGCATAAACTATAACCTAGGGGCTTCTGTTTGAAGTTTAGCAACCAAGAATGGAAGAAGACCAGAAAAGACATTTTAATCATGTTTTCTTACTTATGTTGAAAGAACATGGAAAATATTCAAAAGTTTATTTTTTTCTAAATGAAAGAAGTGACAAAATGATCAAATCATATCGTTGTTAAATACAAATTAGCTTACACATAAGCAACTTGCCAAACCAATGTTTTAGTTCAACTGTAATGTATGTTATAGCCAAATACTACATTGTTCAAAAGTAATAGTTTTGATATTCTTTAATATAGTTTAGGGACTGGAACCTTTATTAGGATGTAGAAAAGCAGACTTCTGCATCATTCCCATTGAAATTAATGGACACACAAAGTAGGACTAGTACATCTTGATGCAGGATGAGAAACTAAAACAAAACTTTGGCTGAATTTGGTCCTAACAGAAGTAGGCACAACTCACAGTGAACTGTGCCTGTTAATATTAGGGTGGAATTTAGCCATCAATATTGATTATTAATATAGTTTACTAATAAAACTTGTATAACATCTCTTTTTGTAATTAGCATTCTTATATTTTACTTATCTGAACTGAATATAATGTAGTATAGGTTGAGGGATTAATGGAAGAAAGCAAAAAGAATATTCAATACAAGTGAACTGCTCTGAGAGCACATACCATATTAATGACGGCTTAATAGGGAAATCATAACTCCTACAGAACCTGAATCCTTTTATGGTGAATGCTGATCAGCAAGAAAGTAGTATTGAATATAAACAGAATGTAAATGTATGGAATATTTGAAAAGGGAGTTTTCAATAAAAAGTAGATGACATTCCAGTTGTGTCATATATTCTGATTTTACTTTCTAAGTGCATGGCTCAAGATATTGTACTTATATTTTTCAGTTGCGTTAAGTCAGGAAAGGATTTCTGCAATACATGTTCAAAGCTCTCAAAACTGGCTCCGTTTGAGGTGGAAATCCTGGCTGCTGCTGAGCCGTTGCTCCAAGTCTCGAATGGTGTTACGGAGAATTTCAATTTCTTTGTTTTTTTCTTCCTGGAGATGCTGCAACTTCTATAAAAGTGCAAACAAATATTTCTTTGTTTCACACAAATTGGAACTGAAATACAGAATCAGCATATAACACAGTATTCTGTTGGCGTTGGGACATTTTTAACTACAATATTAAGATTTTTTTACAATATCAGTTGTATTTTACAAGGATAATTTTACAAAGTCCTTTTCAAAGCACAGCTGCACTTTAAAGCACTGAATATCATCCACAAATACCCACTAGATATTCTATACAAGTAGCAGTACTGCTTAAACACATACCCTTCTGTAGATATTTTGAGGTAAGGCAGTTGTATCTGGAAACGATTTTGTTGCTTTATTCTGAACTTTTGCTAATTTAGCATTGAACTAAAATAAACGGGAAAAAAAAGTTAAAAGCCCAACAGATGAAACTTATTGTCTTTACTTACATAGGTATAATTCTCACTGTTCTTCATGTATTTGTACCTTTAAATATAACTGGCAGCATGACCTATGGGCATTGCAACTACTTAATCTGGAGATAATGAAACAACTTCATTTTTAAAAGTTAGCTAGAAAAATACTGTCCCACGTCCTGGGTCCTGATGGTTCAAAGGGACCATAATGCCAGCTCACCAGCTAGTGGAAAATTCCCTTGGTGTAGACATTGGGTGCTGTTAGCTAGCTTAGGACTTGAGAGCTACATGAACCACATTTTCCACGTGCACTAGTGCTGAGGAGAGTCCTGACAGAAGTGCTTTTTCTTTTTTTTAACACGTTGAGGATTTGAACTCTGAGTTGTTTATTGGCAGCAATGGAGTGGCTTTGCAACCTCAGCTGTGAAATACATCTCTGGCCCTGAGGCTTACAATATATGTGCAGACCTCCACTGAAGTGTTTGGTAGCACATTGTAAATTACAGCATAAGAGCATCAGGCTCTCAAGGTTTACATGAAGATCTCTTCTGAGCACTGTAAAACCCAAAAAGTAAAAAGAACAAAATCAAATCATTTATCCATCCTTCCAGTTACATGTGGCTATGTTTTCACAAGGATAACAGCTGTATTTAAACCAATTCTATCACAAAAATAAGAACAGGTTATATTGTAATACTTTTTATTCTCCTTAAATTTTAGTTATGCCACCATTTATTAATGGCAGTAACTTATATCACACACACACACACACGCGCGCGCGCGCGCACATGCGCAGGGGAACAAACCCCAATTTCTTTTGTGCAGGCCATCTTCAAGGGGTCAAGGACTTTTTCCTCAGTTCAGTTAAAACCCATACATCTCAAACAATGTACACTGCAGGATCTGCCCTTTGTGATAATAGAGAACAGAACAGCCAAACCACATTACTAACTGGCAAGAATTTCTGTGGATGAAATCTCTCCTAACTATGCAGTTGATCCAACATAAGATGTCACCTACAAAAATCCTTGCTCTCACATATTTGCTGGACCATAAGGACTATATATCACTCCAAACCTACTATTACTAATGGTAATCTCAACATTTTTTAAAATCTAGAATCTTTTATATAAATATACATATACACGAGATGCATCTTTGATTTGACTTGCTAGTACATACCTCTATCTGTAATTTGATTATCTCATTCTGTTTCTCCTTATCTTGAGTTCTCAGCTGCCTGGTTAACTCTAAAACCTCCAGCTCTTTTTTCCCTATCTGGTCTTTATGTTCTTCTTCTTTTAGTTCAACTGAAAAAAGTAACACAAATAACAGAACATTATAATTTTAATATATAAGCATATATACATAGTATAATTACAAGAGAGTTCATTGTATTAACAAAGTAGACTTAAAAGACAGCAGAAGCTATAAAGTGGAATAAATTAATAAGTGAACTAAAAGCATAAACTGAAGGAACTTAAAGTCATATAGGGTTTTTCTTTTTATTTTGGTATATGGGATATTTTTGGTACCCTTATTTATGGTACCAGCTTGCAGAACAAAGATTTGAATGGAAACATCTCCCATTTATTAAGGTTTTCATTAACTGATAGTGTTCAGGATTTTACAATAATGCATTTCAGTTGACCAAAAAACCCACACTATTAAAGCTATCTGGAGTCCATTCCCACTCCTTACCACAAAGTGGATTCTCTCTTTTACAGGGTCTTAGAACTTAGGAGAAAATTTTCTTTTAAATAATGTACAAGAGTGATCTAAGGGCCTAGGACTCTATTGTAATTTACATTGGTTTGTGTATTCAGGGCACACAGATGAGCATGTATCTGGGGGTAATTGCTTATAATAGGTGCTATTATGGAGCCTTGCCACTAGGTGGTGAAAGAGCAGGCCTCTCTATAGCAACAGCTAGTCCCAGGTATCAATAGATATATGACATGGCATCATTGTAATTTACATGACTGCAATTTTATCCCTGATTTTTCTTGGGTGGAGTGAGTGGGAAAGTAAGTCTACAAAAGGTTAAAGCAAGTTTCTCTGGTATATGCTTACATATTATATCACCATTCTGTTTACACCAGTTTAATGGCTGATTACACCAGTGTAAAGATTGCCAAATGATCTCCAAACTAGGTATACATTTTACTACCCATTGTACAATGGGTATGTTGGAAAATAGTGAGAATGAGAAACTGACCTTTAAGCATTTGATGACATGCTCTGGACATGCTAAAAACTGAGTGCAGCCTTCAGAAAACTTACACTTCCTATTCATGTTGCAGAGTTACGCTTCTTCATTTAAGTTTTTGGCCAAACATTCAGTGTATTTTAGTTATACAAAGATTCTGGTGATAGAATTGGACCTTTTTGATACTATCTTGTTAATCTGCAAATTATTGCGCCACTACCCTAATTGTGCCTGCCACTTTCAGAATGTTGGGCAGGCTATGGAGCAGTCAGCGGGTGGGTTTAGGCCCAATTAGGTGTAGCCTGACTGCAAGGGCCTGCCTGATTGGAGGAGGGCTGGGCAGACAGGGTATAAAACCAAACCCTTGGGAGCTGGAGGAATAACATTGCATGCCTGAGGACTGCAGCTCCTGTAACACCTGGAGGTTAGGGTAGGAACTATGGGGATGGAGGAGGTTCCTTTTGGTCCAGGGTAGGACCTGAAACTACACCCTGCTGGGATTGGATGGTGTGGTGAGACTGCTTGTGGTGGGGTAGCCTCCAGAAAATACCACACCTGTGCCACCCCAGTGAAACGTGAGGATGGGGTGCTGGCAGGGCCGTCCCTAGGGGGTGCGAATTGGGGCCA